TCTTCTTTTATTTTTTTAATAATTTTATTAGGGGGGCTCATACAACTTATCACAATCCATACACACATCAATTGTGTAAAGCGCATTTGGACATTCATTGCCCTCATCATTCTCAAAACATCATAATTTTCAAAGCATTCTCTTCCCCCTTGAGCCCCTGCTATCAGCTCCCAATTTCATACCTTACATCATCCTCTGTCGCCCCTCACCCACTTTTCCATTGTCCCTCCCCCTGGGAGGGGGTTCTAGGTTGATCCTTGTGATCAGTTCTCCCCCTTGCCCCCCCACCCTCTCCAATCCTCCTGGTATCTAATCTTAAGGCCAGGTTCTAGGGAGGCTCAGGCCCATCCGCTTCCAGTGCCTTCACGTATCCAAGGAGAACAGCCTGGTTTCTGCCTCTCTTTTCCTGGCCCTTTAATGGGTGTTTCATTGGTGGGCGACATGTTGAACACTAGTGTTTTTCTTTCCTTTTTTTTTTGAGTGCCGTAGTTTTGCTCCAATGCCATACGCTGTGTGTCGCATTGTTTTTTACAGCCTCAAGGACCACCACCACCCCCCATTCTTTTCCAGCTAACACGCGGTCCACAGTATCCCTGTGTGCACGTTTCACTAGGACACTTTGTATGTGAAAACAGTCATGTCAGTAACTTGTGCTCTTTAACGGTGGCTACCATGATAAATGTTTGGTAGTATATGTTTAGCACAATGGTTTTTTACATTGAGTCATGGCATCATCCTCCCCACTGAGCGGCTGCACTGGAACAGGAGATAGAGAACGTGGGATTTGCAAACTCTCCCTGTAAACCTTAGCAGGCAGAGTGCTGAGCAGATGTGCTGTGGTATATCTGTGTCTCCTGAGTCAACTTGACTAAGTCTTCTGGAATTTTAAATATGAGGAGCCTTCAAAAAGTTCATGATAACGAAGCTTTCCCAATAACTTCCTGGAGTCCCTTCATCTATCTAGTATAAAATCTACTTCCATCCAGTAGAGAACCTATATAGAGTTTTCAGAAGCTGTCGATCCATACGCAAGCAGAGAGCCTCGTCTTGCTCCTAGGGAGTGGTGGGTGGGTTAGAACTACCAGCCTTGCAGGTACTAGTTTAACACTGTATCACCAGAGATCCCTGTTTATTATTAAAGTAAGGGCGTTATGAATTTGGGACATGACTAAAGAGTATAAGAAGCACCTCTTTCTGTTCTTGTTTTGTATAGCTGGCTTTGGCGTGCAGCTGTAATTACAATTGAAATGCGTACATTTTATCTTCTGTCAGTCTGGTTTATATCACAAGCATTTTCCATTTGTGTCCCCTCTTTGTTGTCATGGTCATTTTAAATGGCTATAGAATTTCCCTTCCTGGGTGTTAATACATAGTTAACACCTTCAGCTACTAACTGAAGGGTTGGAAGTTCAAGTCCAATCTGAAGAAAAACCTGGTGACCTACTTATGAACAATTAACCATTGAAAACCAGCGCAGTATACAAAGGTGCTTCACAAAGGTCATGGGAAAAAAATCCACGTCTGTTCATTCCATTTTCCCAAGAACTTTTGAAGCTTCCTTGCATCTCTACTCTGACACTCGTGGGCCACCAGGAACTGGGCCTGGCATCAGGCCACGTGGTTGGCGGAATACACTTGCTTAATGACGCCTCTTAATCAGCCTGACCAACCTCAGTTTTAATAACTGATGCAGATATTTTAAACATCTTATTGGGAAACCTACCTGTTTTCTCTATTATCTTTTTAAAGCAATGAAGATTAATGACTGAAACACAATGCATATGCAAAATCCGCCAGTTAACTTTTTTTAGGTGTTGCCTGTTTGCATTACCCTTTGAAAGCTTTTTTCCCCGAGACGATCTTCTGAAAGAAGAAAAATAATACAGATGGGAATTGAAGCGTGCTTTAGGCCAAGCACATGGAGATGCTCAAAGAACTTGGCGTTCTTCCACGTCTGCTGAGGACGGGACCTGAAATCAGGGTTTTAGCAGAGAAAAGACTGAGTGTTCGCAGACAGCAAGTCAATTTTAATTCCATTGATGACGTTAAACGATGGTCCAGAGCAGTCTTAGGATCATTTTACGATCGAGGGCAGTAGAGTGAGCTGTGGCTGCTGAAAAGTCACACAGGTCAGAAGGATTTGCAGCGACAGTAGATAGTAGTTTGGCTCGGGTGCTCATGAATTGATGTGAAGAAATAGGACTTGCCAATAAATGAGCTGAGGGCATTTTATAGTATGGAATTAAAAAACAACAGCAACCATTGTCAACCTAAAATGGCCTAGTGTGATCAGCTTTGGATTCTTAAGTGATTTGGTAACTCATTGACTGCCATCAAGTCAATACTGACTCAGCAATCCTGTAGGACAGGGCAGAACTGTCCTGGTGAATTTCCAAGACTGGGACGTATTGCGGGGGTAGAAAGTCTTCTCTTTCTCCCGCAGAGCCGCTGGTGGTTTTGAACGGCTAAGCTTGTGGTTAGTGCCCCAGTGTGTCACCAGAGCTCTTGATTTGGTAACTGGAGAGGAATATAAGTGATAACCAGTAATACCATTGAGAGGCATGGTACTTTTTAATATATTCTGCTTGTGTCTGAGAATCATGAACGTTTATGTTTGTGTGGGTGTGTATGATGAAACGCGTATCCGAGTGTATATGAGTCTGTCTGAAGTGTTATGTGAAAGTGTGTGCGTGTACATGTGTGTTCACGCACACATGGCAGAATGTATTCCTTGTATAGAAGGAGACCCGCAGCAGCTGTGTTCAGGGACAAACGTGGGCATGCTGAGATGTTGCTGGCCCGTTTTTCATCCAACACATGCTCGTCGTTCCCAATCAAGATCCCCTCCCCGTTTCTGTCCGTGTTCAGTTATAGATCTAAAGTGTCCCGGGGAACTAGCTTCTGGAAGCTGTGTGCATGATGAGTGACGTCTTCAGGCTTTGTTTCCTGGTATTTGGAGTTTGTGCTTCACTAAGCCAAGCTTACCGGCAGTTTTCACAAAGTCTAAAACAGAACATTTTGCAGGGCAAACCAGGAAAATACGGGCGACCAGGAGTTGCTGTAATTACGACTGGCTTCTTGCAACTCGGTGTATGTGTAAGAAGCTGCCTTTTCAGAAACGTTATCTCATTAACACACCGTCCAAAATGGCACCCTGAGCACCCCCACGACAGACTCTGTCATATGCCCGCTTTCTTGTTGTTAAGGCAGTCGTAACCAGCTGGTGTCTGGTTTACATGGTCATCTCCTGTGTCCCCCCTCCCCCGCCCGTGTTCTGTGGAAGCTGGCCCGTGTCCACGTCTCCTCAACTCACAAGCGGCCGGCACATCTCTCTCGATTGAAGAAAGTATTCTGTTTTCTTCCAGTGCTGGACACAAATGACCGGTTTCTCCGAAAAATAACGATTGGGCTGGGAAAGGCGGAAAAGGGGTGCTCCCGCCAGGTAGGTGGTGTTGTCTCTGCAGGTCTTGTGTTTGTGTTGCTAGGTTCTCTGCTTCTCTCATCCCTCGGTCAGCCTGGCCAGGGCTCCCCACCACTTCTGCTCACCCTGCAGGACGGGACAGGGTACAGAGGGGGGAAATGTCCTTGCATTTTCTGACCGTTCAATACAGGGGTGCATCTTCTGGGCAGTTCCACTCAATCTGTCCTTCGGGTATAATTTCTTAGATGTTTTATTGGGAACCCACTTAATCCCTACTGTATCTGCCCAGAGGACAACTTAACTAAAAATTGAACACCCGGGAAACTAACCACAGTCAGGCAGAGAAGGGCCAGTTAGTTGTTCGGCCTGATGGCCGGGGTTTTTAGGAATAACATCTTCTTAGTCCAAATTCAGAGGCGGGAAGAAAAGTCAAACTGTCCGCCTTCGTTTCGAGTGCCCTCCGTTGTGGAGTGGTGGCGCACAGCAACTCTCCGTTCACTCTGATTTCCCCGCCAGTCACATGCTATGCTTATTTTTGGAATAAACACCGCATTACAGAATGATCTTCGATTTGCAGCCTTCATAGATCGATGTGTTAGCAACATGAAGAATGCCCTTTCTTCTAATAACCAGCCCGTGTCCCCAGTGGACTTTGGGACCTCCTGACATCATTTGAGTCAGAAAGTGACCCGGGGGTTTGAATTCAGAAGACAAGCTAAATCTGCATACCAGCCGAGGTCCTCCGAATTTTAGAATGTACATGAGCCTGTGGATTGTCCACAATTCGCCAGGGTCCGTGTGAGTGACCTGGAGTCACAGCCGTGGGGTTTGGGGAGGTTCCTGACAGGTAGGCAGATTCAGGAGCTCGACAGTGGGGCCAGGAAGCCAGCATCAGCAGGCTTTTCTGATGCCTGCTCTGATACCTTTGCCGGTCACACACGGGAAGCTGTGGGCTAGTTGGTGGGCCATTCAGTTCTCTGGTCTGTGCCGATCGACAGCCTACCGTATCTCTGGCACCCGGGCGGTGCAAATGGTTAACATACTCCACCGCTAACCAAAAGGTTGGAGGTTCAATTCCCCCAAGGGGCATCTCAGAAGGAAGGCTTGGTGGTCTGCTTCCCTCGAACTCAACCTTTGGAAACACTCTGATGTGCATGCGGCGGGTCTGGGTGGGTCAGAGAGGACTCGGTGGCAGCTTGGTGTACAGTACCACCGGGCCAACAGAACGAAGTAGAACAGAGTGGAGGAAACCCTGAATCCGCTAGTTTGCACTTTGCATGCAGAACCGTGGGGGCACACAGTTCATGGCCAACGGCTGAACTTGTGCCCTTGTCAGTGTGGCCCCCAGGTGGAGCTGTCTCTGAGCATGTGCTTTGGTCCTTTCAGGCGCAGTTTGACATTGCTGTGGCCAGTGAGATCATGGCGGTGCTGGCCCTGACCAACGGCCTCCCGGACATGAAGGAGCGGCTGGGGCGGATGGTGGTGGCCAGCGACAAGAGCGGGCGGCCTGTGACGGCAGACGATTTGGTGTGTATGACCAGCCAGGGGCTCCCGCGAGCTGTCTGTCCCCGGTCATTGGTACTGAGGATGAAGACTGAAGGGGGCTGGGAAGTTCCTCTCACAAGCCTGTTTCCATGGGGTTCATCCCATCAGCTTTTCGACTTCCTTCCTGCCTATTTTGTCTGCCTGTGGGGGCCGGGCCAGGTGTAGCTCTAGCTGAGGGCTTTTTAAAAGAGCCACCTAAGGGCCTTCCCCTTCATTCTAGAAGTAGAAAAGGAGAAACTTTTAGAATCTAGCAATTTGTCAAGCATCTACTGTCGAGTAACTGCAAAGTTGGCGGTTCAAGCCCACCTGCCTCTCTGTGGGAGAAATAGGAGGCTTATCTGTTCCTGTAGAGCTTTACAAAGCCCCAGGAACCACATCAAGGGTCACTGTGAATTGGAATCAACTCGATGGCCGTGGGCTTGACTTTTGCTGCTCCCTGTTGGACAGGGCTGGGGAACCTTTTTTCTGCCAAGGGCCATTTGAGCATCTATGAGCTCGTTCTCAGGCCATGCTGGTCACACATTTATTGAACTCACCCCTGATGTGATGTCTGGACTGTTTCTCTTCGGTGTGGCCTTAGCTGGCATTGATGAATCCTTAGACCTCATGAAGTTCATGGCTGGATGCACCCCACCCCTCCTGTAGGATAAGAGGTGAGGGGGAAAGGCAGGCAGAATACATGCTCTCTTAGATCACTGGTTCTCAGCTGGTGTGCCCCGACCCCTTTGGGGGGGTCGAGTGACCCTTTCACAGGGGTTGCCTACTACCATCGGAAGACACATTTCTGATGGTCTTAGGAACCGAGACACCGCTCCTCTATCCTTCTCTAGTCGGATCCGCCCACCCGCAGATATGCTGATCTGGTGAGAAAGAAGCTGTCTCAACCTTTGCACTGATGTTGGCTTTTTAAGCTTACTGTCCCAAAATGTGGTAATGTAGTTTACTGTTGGTATAGTAAGACTGTTACCCATGCCACACCGTGCTTCATGACAACATTTCATTTGTAATTAGGAAGAAATATTTCATAATATATCATTGCTTATTGTTTTTGTGAGTCATCACTATGCTTTAATTATGTTCCATTTGTAACCATGAAAATACATCCTGCCTATCAGATATTTACATGAAGATTCATAACAGTAGCAAAACTACAGTTATGAAGTAGCAACGAAAATAATGTTATGGTTCGGAGGTCACCACACATGAGGAACGGTATGAAAGGGTCGCGGCCCGAGGAAGGTTGAGAACCACTGCCTTAGATGCTTCTCCTTTGCCTCAGCCTCCTGCCCTGCAAATAGCTTTGTTTGGGCTCTTCATCGCCGCTCTGGGCCACACGAGGGCTCTGGCAAGGAAGGTGGGTCTCCGGGAAACAGGGCTGCTCCGTCTCCATCCTAGTCTCAGGAGATGCTGGCACCCATACCTGAGTGAGGGCTTTGTCAAACTGAAATCCATTTTCTCAGTTAGGAGGCTGGAAGTATGGAGTCCGGGTGCCAGCTCTGGGGGAAAGGTCCCTCCCTGTTCTCTTTGGGGGAAGGCCCTGGACCCTTCGGTTTCTGTCCTGTGCCTTGGCGATCTTCATGTGGCTTGGCATCTACCTTTCTCCCCCTCGGCTACCTCTTTATTTTTATATATATAGTCTCTTGACAGAGATGGACGCAGGACACTGACAGGGGGTGACTCAAAAAGTTTGTGGGAATATGGAATGGAAAGTCCCTGAACTTTTGGAAGCCCCCCAATACTGCTCTTAGAATACAATAACGAAAGCCCATTCCCAAATGTGACTATAGCGGCAGGTTTAGGAATTAGGCTATGCGACACATCGCTGCCAGGACACAGTTCAACCAATGTTATCCCCCTCTCTGGGAATGGCTACACCATGCCAGGCTGGGTTGGGGGAGATGGACACAGGCCACAGAGCAGCCTGGGACCCCTGCAGACCCCAGCCAGGAAGCAGGCTAGTGAGCGCGTGGGTGGTCTCTTCTCACCAATCTAAGTAAGTCCTGTTGTTTCTCTCCTCTAGGGGGTGACGGGGGCTCTCACAGTCTTGATGAAAGATGCCATCAAACCGAATCTGATGCAGACCCTGGAAGTAAGTGCTGCTTGCCTTGTGTCAGTCCGTTACAGCCTCTCTGTGATTGGGATACCTGTGTGTGCCCACGGAGACATCCAAGGAGCCTCAGAGTAGTTTGTTGGCCATCTTATCTCTGGCCCATTGAGAACGATTCACATCTCGGCTGATCCACCCCTTAGTGTACTGACCAGCAGAGACAGAGGGAGTCCCACCTGTGTTGCATGTCAGGGTGGAGCCTGACGTCTGCCACGTTTACATCAGAAGGACTGGCGTTGTTCACCCCTTGCCCTGCTCTTGTCTTCATTGGACTTCAGGGTTGTCTTTTCAAACATCTGTATCTGGGCATATTGGTCGAGGCAAAACCCAAGTATGGTAGGAGGGATTTGGGTAAGGTTACCAGATTTACAGTGGGACACCATTGACCCGGGGTAGGGGGCGGGACGGGGGTGTGTGTGTTTCTTGATTAAAAATTTGGTCTATATGGACCAAATAGACCGTCCCCTAGCTTGTCGTGCATTCTTTCAATAAATCGGGACTGTCCCGCCAAAAGCGGGACGTCTGGTCACCTTAGCTTTGGGGTACGAGAAGACCGTGTGTATTGGTTACTGTGTTAACAACCAGCTCTGGTCTGGGCACTGGGGGAGGAACCCCTGGTTCGTAGCACTTGCCAATTTCCGGGCCGTAACTATTCCCCCTGCGCCCAGAGTCTGGCTCCCTCCTAGATGTCACTGAGCATGGGTGGGCAGAAAGCACATGGCCGGTGTTCCAAAGAGACCTCAAGCAGCAGAGGGACAGCAGGAAGTGCAGGAACGAGGCGGCGGCTTGTGTGTTGGGAAAGAGAAGCAGCTTCCTCATCTAGCTGGAGCACACGGTCTGCCACTCAGCGACCTGTGGCAGGTGTTGCATAGCCATCTCAGCCTCAGTGGAAACGGTGGCACTTACAGCTGACCGTTAGCAGGGGCTGGTGAACATGCAGTCGGTACTTAACCCAGGGCGTAGGCAGGGCCAGGCTGGAGATGCTGCAGATGTGGCAATGGACCAGCCAGGCAGTGTCAGGGCCCTCTCGGAGGTTTCACTCCAGGCGGGAGACAGCTGAGAGACAAAGAAACAAATACAGTGAACCCTTGTTTATCACGGTTAATCGGTTCTAGACCTACCGTGATAAATGAAATTCCGCGAAGTAGGATTCCTTATTTGTAAATCAAATATTTTCATAGTTAGAGCTTAGAGGACATGAAAAAACACCCTTTAGTCACCATTACACTCGTATTACCCA